GACAGCTCTTCGCTCCGGAGCCCCGGCACGGCTTTGATCTGCCGCTGCGCCTCGCGAGCTGAGATCATGATGGCAGGGGGTGGGGGAGGTATCTCTCGGAAGAGCTGAGGCTTTGTTACTTTAACTCCAGCCGTTAAAATAACGCGAAGGAAGGAAGCAAACACGTAGGTTTATTCCCTCCCTTCTGCCCGCTTGCATGGGGGAGAGTCTTTCATTTACAAGGCGTTTTAATTGATATGCACAGTTGTCAAGACGACGGTATCATTAGTAGGAGAGGCGCAACCCCACCCCTTCCCCTCCTCCTCCTCCTCCTCCTTTCCTTCCTCTTTTCCCTGCTCCCCCACTCGCTCGTGCTGTTTAGCTTGCTGGCAGTTTCTCCAGCAGCAAGTCATTTACCTCCCCCCTGCACACACTTTCCCCCCTCCTGCTTGTGTGTCTTTCACTGGCAGATTATGAGCCTTGCTGCCACTGAAGCATCGATTGCTGGAAGTGGAGGGTGACCTTGCCTGGTTTCTGGAGGAATTTCTCCTGAAATGGAGATACACAAGGATACAAGGCTTTGATTTCTCCTGTTAGGAGCTGAAGATAGTAAGAAACTGCAAACTTCCCCCCCACCCTTTTTTGCATCCAGCCATGTCTGTGTGAATGATGGCAAAAGAAGTGTGTGTGTGGGAGGGGACTGGAGGAGAAGGTGTTGTTGTAGTGGATCTGCAGGATAAAGCTCTTGTTAAAGCTTCCTTGGAGGGCCATATGTCCCTCCTCTAGTGTAAACTGACTGCAAGAATATTGACTTTCCCCTGTACTTAATAAAACACGGTTGCCAATTTGCGTGATTTTATCACCAGTCTCTGGATTAGGAAGTCTATCTGGGCTTATCTGAAAATGTCCTTTCTTGAGGCCTCGGACTCTGAAGTTACCTGATTCTCCAAGACTCTAAACTTTCATTAAAAAAAGATGTTTCTAGCCTTTTGGGGTTGCAGAATTAAGCAGGAAAACAGGATGCCCCCTTCAAAGGCACAGGAAAAAATGGCAAATAAAAAGAACCCCAGATTTATTATTTTCAAACTTCATTTTTAAGCCAATTTTGTAATTTTTGTGGGCCTGATTCATAATTTTATGCAGCCAGATGGGTTTGATAATAGTGTTTCTTAAATGCTAACATTTTGTCTGTCCAGTGCTGTGAGGAAGACAGATAACCTTTGCCAAAAGAACTTTCAATCTAAAGCTTTCTAGTATCACAAACCATGTATGTATTTATTATGTGTATTAAAGAACCTGTGTACGCACACACACATTAGTCATAAGAGGAACTCCTTACTCAGCACCCCCCTGCAAAAAAAGAGAACATTTGCTCCCTCATTATACTGTGTCACATATATGATGAATCAGCTTTCTTGTATAGACAAAGCTTGAGTAGTCTGCTCAACAGTATGTGTTGGGTGAAATGGAGTATAGAGGTAGATGTCATCTACCTGCTGATGGCACTGTGCATTAGATCATCCCAAAAATCCTCCTAAAAGCCCCATTATGTGTTGAACAGAAGGGTAACAGAGCAAGCCATCATGGTACTTCATGAGAGAGCACTTGGGTAGATGAAGAATGGCCTTCTCAACTATCTCAGAACAAATTAAACAGAATCACATAAATGCAAATCTTCCCAAATCTACAAGAACCAGTAATGTGTTAACATTTTATGGTCAAAGGTATCACATACAATAAAAGAATCAGCATAAATTGCTAATTTGTTGCCTGGAGGAGATCATTAACAAATACAACCAATTTTGTCCATATACCTTGCCACAATTTTGTCCATATACCTTGTGCGAGTGTCACAAGAAATAGAATACGAGGAAGTTCTAAAAGAACGTGCCATTATTTGGGTAATGTTCTACAGATGTGAATGACATAACTGAGGGCTGTCCAACTTCTGAGAAGTTGCTCATGGGCTCCTAGATCCTGTGCTGCAGTAACACAACTATGGGGGCACAACTGGAGCAGCAACGCAGGGTGTCACCTTTGGAGGGGAGGGGCTGGCACAAAAATGGCTGCAATTGCAGCAATGGCTGATAGCGCTACTATGCTCACCATTGTAACAGCTGGTGTTACATGGTTGCCCTGGGTGTTGTATGGTTCCCAGGGTGTGAAACTGCCCCACTGTGCCTCTGCTGTGCTGTGCCGCTCCACCCCCAGGGATGGGGGCAGGGGCAGGAAGTGGAAACTCAATGAGTGAGGGGGACAGTAGCAGGACAGTAATGTGGGGAGCCACGCCCAGACTGGGACCCTGGGGGCAATGAATTAATCCCTCACAGGCCAGATTCAGCCTGTGAACTTCCAGCAGGACAGCCCTTTACATAACTTATTGGCATACACCCCAACTACCTTTATAGTGTGAGGAGTAATTTTATTGTATGGCAGGGAGATTAGTTGGAGCAGGTTAGCATACCTATGATGGTGATGTGATGAGAGAGGCACATCTGCACTTTGGAGAATAAACTGTTTCCTTTTGGCACTGATTTCTACAGGTTGCACCAGCATTAGTGCACAGAGGTCTTCTCGTCATGTAGATTGTCAGCCATTTGGCAATGATGATGTCCTGAGGATTGGTAGGGACAAGGCAGGCAGTATCTCAGTAGGAATCCTTACTGCAAGTGTGAACATATGGTAATATTTAGCAAGTCCGGGGTGGTTCATATGGAGTAGGCTCAATGTTTGAATGTTGGCCAGATGTATGTAACTCCTGTTGTTATGACTGACCCAAATTTAAGTTTTGCCTTAGCAAAGAGGAAG